GTGCGGGGGCAGCTGGCCAGGCTGCGGAGGGAACAGGGGGCAGCTGGCCGGGCTGAGGAGGGAACACGGGGCAGCAGGCCGGGCTGAGGAGGGAACACGGGGCAGCAGGCCGGGCAGGGGAGGCTGGTGCGTGTGCAGGTGGGCTGGGCCGTGACACTAGCTGCACTAACAGGCCATGCCCAGGCGAATGCCCCTCCCTCCTGGTAGAGAAGGAGACAATGGGGACGACTTCTTCCCCCTCATGCTTCAGCACAGTCTCCCCCAGGCCACGCCGGTACCCAGCCGGGGCAGGACCCAAGAGCAGGGGCAGCTGCAGAGACCAATCTAAGCAAGGTGCGTCATATACAAAAGTTTAATTTGGTGCAGATTAGTTTCCACGTTAAAAGGCGGATTGCTCAGACTCCGCGTGAGAGCATTAAATATCTTAGTGCCTGCGGGAGCGGAGCCCCAGAGCATCCCAACCCCACAAATAACTTACAGCACAACCCTGCCCAGGCTCGGCCCTCCCAAGGAGACTGGAAACGCGCACGGGCCAGGGAGAATTCAACAGGTTGAAAAACTAGATATCTAATAAAATCAATTTTCGAAGGGGGGGCTGAGGGGCCTGTGTGGCCCCGGCCCAGAGTTAACGAGGCCCCTGCCCCACTGCTGCCCCTCCTATGGCCCTGATGCACATGGCAGCAGAGAGGGGCCCATTGGTGGGAGGTGCCAGTTTGCCCCCACAGTGGGGCCAGGCCCCCTCTGTCTGAAGCAGTAACAGTTTGGCACAGCCGCTGCGCCCACAGGTCTAAGCGGAGGGCTTCACGCGAGCTGAGCCCGACTTGGAGCTCAGCAGCTTTTCCACCATGGTGCGGGCATAGCGCAGCCGGCTGGCCAGCTCCTTGCAACAGCCGTGCTCCTCGATCAGGCTCAGCTTGTAGGTGCGGAAGTCCCGCTTCTCATCGATGTAGGTGACGGCCGCCATCAAGGGGCACAGGATGATCTTGGTGTGGTCCTGCAGAGAGGAGGCAGAGTTGGAGGTGTCCCTCGGCAACCAGTACCCCCTGGTCACGGGGGTCCCGCACTTCCCTAGGTGAGGCACCCCGTGACCCAGGAGTCCCCTGGATAGGCAGGGCCAGGAAAGCACCTGCTGCGTTTCATCTTTCCAAGGGTTCTCAGCAAGCCCCCAGGGAACCAGCGCTGCGTGGCCAGCCGGCTCTGGCACTAGCCAGTCTGGGTGGCTCCGGCATTGGGAATAGACCAGCGGTTCCCAACCTTTTCCAGATGGGGGCCCATTTTGACAAGTCAACGACTTGGTGACCCAGGTCAATTCAAAAACGGGGGGAGGGGAGGGCAGAGCCACCTGGGGAGACACTCGGGCGACCCTTTTGAAATGCAATGGCGACCCATAGGTTGGGAAACCCTGGAACAGGCCAAAGGAGCCTTCCAGTCCTGGGTCGGCTGGTCTGGGCCCAGCCG